ACTGATTCAGACTAGGATTGGCTTTGTGGGAATAAGGGCCCGTTCAGCTGGTTTTGTCAACCCACTCCTTTTACAGCTATGTGTTTCTAGGGAGTGGGTCTTTAGGCCATCACAGCATCTCTAATCCTCAGCTGTGTTGCTCAGGTCTCCTAAGACCCCACCTAATATGCCTTCTTACCAACGGGTCAGAAGGCGTGGGTTTGCGTGAGCGGCGAAGCCCCGTCCCCAAATTTTTGGTTCCTGTGAACCAAGACTATTTGGGTCAGCCTCACCCCTGGGTCGGTGGGTGGGGTCATATCTCTTCGATCTCTTTGTTTATGTCTCATTCTCCATTTGCTCGGGTGGGCGGGAGGTCAAATGAAAATGAGTTGCTTGAATTGATACTTTGATTGTGAGATTTGAGTTATTGTGAGGTATCTCAGTGAGTAGCAGCTAGTGGTCGAATACTGGAATACAGGTGGAAGATTTTCTCTGAGGGACATCTTCTTCCCATTCCAGGATTCCGACCCGTACCAGGTCGGGGCCTGTGTTCTACCCCGCTGCCACCCGTGGGCTTAAGAACCACCGTGCCTTATGGTTCTTACCACCATTGTCACACAAAAGCAAAATTTCAGTTTGAAAAACTTGAAATTCAGTTTTATGATTACCAAACAGTCAACCAAAATTGTCAACAAAACATCTGAATGATCATTGTTGAGCACTTGATTGCCTGTTGAGTGTTTGGTAAAGATGGATTTGAACAGAGTATTTTGATTTAAACTTGAAAATCAATCAATACTTTTTCAAATTCATCCATCAAAGTCATCAACAACCACAATCATCAACCATGTCTTCATCCCAACTTGAGCTGTCATGCTTCACACCATGCACACCTCTCAATCAATCAATTCTATTTTACAATTATTGCAAGTCTCAGTAAAAAAAGACAGCAATACACCATGTCCGGGTAGTGTTTGCTTGTCAACAAGCGGGAACGACTTCCCTTTCTGCCTCAAAGGGAGTCGGTGTGGGCTTGTCAACAAGCAAACCCTGCCGGACATGGCAATAGTTGTTAAAAAGATGATGATAGTTGTTGAACAGATGGTGATAGTTGATAAAATGAAACAACAAGAGAGTTGATAAAAAGACAATTATAGAAAAGAAAGCTGAGTGAAGGAGATGGGTGTGTGAAGGAAATAAAAGGGTGTCATCATGTGGAAAGAGAGAGATGAGTTGAAGTTGTTTGATTGAGGAGAGGGGCAAATACTGTATTTTGTCTGAAACACAGGGTAAAGGCTGTTTTTCAAAAACAAAGAACATTTGATCAAATATCATTGCCAAACTCCAGTGTTTTTGACAACAACCAAACACAGTTTTGACCCAAATACTGTTTTTGGCTTTGGTGGGGTATTTGGGTTCCAGCCAAATGGGCCCTAAGCTTATAAGGGTGTTGTACTGAGGCTAAGTTTGTTTCAGAGGGATTTATATGTTGGGTAGGATGGGAGATAATAAGCAAATGTTCTTTTTGATTATCAATTGCATTGGCAATGTAAAATGGTTCAGATTTTATTTTTCAATTTTTTTGGCCTCTTTCTCTTCCTCATCCCTAAGATTTTGAGACTTTGGATGTTTGAATCTTATGGGGTTTGATTAAATATCTTGATTTTTGGCAATTCACTTTGCTAAGGAACAGAATGATCATGATCTTTGTAAAGACTTTTTGTTATATTTAACAAGTAGTGTCCAGGTATTGGGCTATTGAATTCCAAATCATACCTTTGATAATTGACTAAATGTTATTTGTTTTATGGACAATAATATTTAGCTGTTATCCAAGGTATTTGAGAAAATGTTGGATCTGAGACTGATCCAATCACACACTGCAAACATTATTCAACTTTGGAAAAAATGATTGGGAGTACAATTTGTCATAAAATGATCTATCACTCCACACCTGAGCCATAACACCCACACTACATATGTGTAGCAGGCTCAGTGAATATGTGGTTATCATGTACATATAGTTCTGCTCAGTTATCTGCTCAACAGGATAAGTTATGCATATGTAATACATGCTGTAACTTTTTTCAGCGTGCCAAAAGCATTCAAAAGATTGACTACATACACTGACTCAACATTGTGGTGTAATCCCATCAACTCAACTGCATGTAACACCCTTTCTGTTACTAAGAAATAGCTTCAACAATCTTGCCTGAGCAGCTACAGAGTTATATGTAGTGGATTTTTGGGACAATCTTTTGGAGTTAAAATGTTCAATGTGGTGTAACATGTGAGTTATTTATTTTGATGGTCAAAAAACTGAGCAGGCTTGTATGTACATGATAGACAACTATTTATGTAGCTTGCTCCACATATGTAGTGTGGGTGTTATGGCTCAGGTGTGCAGTATTGGATCTTTTTATGACAAACCTTCGTGTCAATCATTTTCTTCTTCCAACTTGGGGAAGTTCAATGATGTTCACAGCAAGATTGATTTGAAGAATCCAAAACGGAATGGGGATTGAAGGTTTGAAAGAATCCATCAAAGATTCTTCATGATTTTAATTTACAGGTCTGTTTCTTTCACTTTTCTCTTACTGTCTTGATCTTTTCCTTGACATTTTCAGTGGCTTGTTTTTGGATGCATCTCTCAGACCTCATTGATTGAAGGGTGTCAATCAATTCTGATGAATGATTGTCTAGATTCATCCAGGTATGATCAATGTTGCAATGAAGAGTTTGAAGAACATACTTGGCTTATATTTATTCTTGCTTCACACAAATGTGCAAAAAGGCTCCCTGAAGTGTGCAAAGTGTGGATTTAAGTTAGGTGAGTCAGTAGGAGAAAATAAATTAGTGAATGAAATCTCATTAATGTTTCTTTGTAGACACATTTCATTCTTGGTGTGCATGAAAAAGAAACACCACATTAGTAGAAGGTAGGATGAGAAAAGGCATGATGGGATCTAAATTTGAGCAAACTAATGTCTGGAGATGATGTAGGTTGTTGGATTTGTTGCAAACCTTTGGAGGAGAAGAAGGTTGAAAATCTTTTAGTTTGAGTTTTAGATTGGTTCTTTTTTCTTTTTCATTGGCTTCATGGTTTGAATTATTATGTGAAGTTGGTTTTGGTTGTACTGAGTTGATTTGTAAGATCAGGTGTAGATTTGGTACTTATCAACTTGTACAATGAACACTTGCTGATTGATCAATTTGAAGAACCTCTTTATACTATGAGGGATATGTATATGCAAATTGCACAACTGGACTGAAAGATGAAATAGTCGTGCGGTAGCTTGGGAAACTAGTTACAATGCTTGAATTTTTTAAGAGAATGTGAAGCCTTTGGAGTAAAGGGTGTTTGGAGATTCCTTTAGATTCACACTTTGACATGCATCACCCATCCATAATTTCCGCGGAAGATGTATGGACCATTCAATGCAAGACTTTTCATAATCCAAGCTCTGCCCATCTGATTCAGGCCATGATGCCAGGGCTTGAGGACACCATGTTGAAGCTCTGCCTCTCCTCTGCTAGTTTTCTCTGCTAACCATCTTCATAGCACGACTCCTTGTTACCTACGTCGTGTATTTACAACTCCTGTAACTTACAGTGGACATCAGATTGGTGATATCTAGTTTCCTGGATTTTGGTTGAGCTTAACAAAGCCCCTCACGAGCGTGTTCGCCGTTCGAGGTTTGTAATGCACTTGAAGTTGTGGGGATCAAATATCAAACCCCATCATGGAGGATTTAAGTACCTGTGTATGTACACTCTTTCCTGAACTCAAGTCCCTAGAGGGCCACCGCAAGATTACGTCATCAATGCGTTGACCGGTTATCGTCCGCACTCGCTGAGAAAAATCCTCATTGTGATGGCAGACCCCTCCAAACCCGCTGAAACTTTCAATGCGGGTCTTCTTGAGGAAGGTTATCAATAATTTTTAGTCAAACCAGATGCAACCCATTCTTGACTTTAGGTTAGACGTTATGATCAAGGTTCTGACTTTCCGGGCTCCGGAAGTGGGTGAAAGCTATCATGAATGAGTTGAAGCCAAATGAAGCCTGAATGACTTTTAGATGACCTGTTTAAGACGAGCAAGGTCCCAAGTTGTTGTTTCCCCGCGTGTTTCAACCCATTTTAAGACTTTTTATCAACACAAAAAGTAACCAGCGGGTGTTTTTCGTCACATGCCATGCAACTTGAATTGCTCCGCGCTGAGATCAGTGACACCACTAAACCTGGCACACACCTAGATGAATGCAAATCAAGTTTTTATTGATTTTCGAGTAAAGATCGATGAAGCTATTAAGTAGTCTTGCCTCAAGAACACTGCCGAAATAGACAAATATTCAATTGCCCCTCCGCTCTGCTTTCATTCTTGGAAGTTGGGTGCAATAACCAATACTTGTGAGCGATGATCACATGAGCTCACGACCCGGTCCTTTCCTTCGTTTGAAGTTCAGATATGTCTCAAGTCTCATTGAATTACGAAATGAGCAGCCTCCCCTTCACCTCCTCGGGCTACGGTTCGTTTTGAAACATGTTGGAACGTAATTTTCAATACGTGTTTCTACACCCGGCGCTTGGGAATCAGATCAAATCGATGGAATTCAAAGTACAGTGGCACTCAGCCGATTCTATTGTACCCGGCTGTCTTTTTAAATCCATCCCATCATTCGTATTCGTATAAATATACCCTCAATTTATTCTTGGTCGAGTTTACGATACCCTTTTCCCATCGCATTGAGCGATTTATCAAACAAAGATAATCTATATACACTCTTTCAAAAGCAATTGTCATATCAAGAACAATGCGACTCCCTGAACATAAACCATCTTGGCTTTCCCTAATCTTCGTCATCACCTTCTCAGCATGTAATGCCAGCAGAGATAAACATTCATCGCAACTCAACAAACGTAACGAGTTAACCTTTGACTCATTTGCTGCTCATAAGATCAGTCCGAATCTACATTCTGTCAATGTCTTTAGCAATTTAACAGAAGAAAAACATGATGGCTGTAATATCGATAGGAATGAATTTCCTGATTTATCAAACTTGGTTCAATGTCGAAATAATTCATTATTCACCATTTGGAGACCTAAAGCACGAATGATGGGATCTCGTGGTTGGTTGAATGACCCTATGGGTATTTGTGAGTTATCTTTTTTACTTATATGTTCTGATATCTTAACGTCCATTGATCCTAATGAGATTGAGAGAAATTGACGATATTTTTCCGCTTGAATCAGATCAAAAGAAGGATGGTTCTTGGCACATAGGCTACCAGTGCCAGCCCAACAACTATGTGGTAGGTAGTAGACACATATATTGAATGATACGATGAAGCTTGAACAGAAAAGGCCGTTACTCACTGCCTTTTCAAACTTTTTCATCGTGGGATTGCCTTTGTCCCTTGATTTAGTGGGGAAATGTATCTCAGTGCTCAGCCTCGACCAATGACTTCACATACTTCAATGATTGTAAGTTGCCCTTTTTGCAATTCATGGATGAGCTGTTCAATTCATCCAGTACCATTCCACTTCGGTTGTATCACACTTCTTAGACACTGACTTGTTACTGTTAATTCTGTGTATAGATCGCAGCTGGGAAGATCCTACCACAATCGTGAGTTGAAGCAACGATCGAGGGTCGGGAGATGTTCATTCTTCCAGGCCCACAGCCAATCTCACCAAAGTCCCAACGAAGCGCTGACAAATGCAATGCAAATTGTGTACCCTTGCATTGACCTAGGCACCCTCGGCACTATACGACATTCGAGGAGTCTTCGATGGTAGTATTATCAAAGAAGGGTGGAATGGACATCCTACTCTCATATACACTTCGACCTTTGCTGGAACACTTGGTTGGCAGAGTCAGCCACCAGAGAAAGAAGGCACTGAAACTCAGAGCATTGCTTTCACTGAAGACGATGGGCTCACCTGGACTAAACTCAACTTTGGTCAAAATGGAAACCCAATTATCTGTTAGTTTGATTCACTCCATTCCTTTAATTTGATCTATCATTACCATTCATCTTCAAACCGATACTCACATCTCGCGTGTCTTTCTCTTGACTCTGTTTAGACCATTGGCCAGAAAAACATTTGACTGGATTCAGAGACCCATATATATTTGAGTCTGAAGAATTCTCGGAGTATTATTCTAACTCTTCCATACAACACCAGGTCCCAAATAACGGTGTCACACCTACAGGCAAAAAGTTCTTAACTATCAGTGGAGGTATCCGTGCTGATTTTGAACCATCTAACGCTGGACCTCGATTATTTTTGTATCGCCAAACCAAGGATGAAAGTGTGCTTGATTGGACATACCTTGGACCACTTCTTACTTTACCTCCAATATTTTCTCCTGTTAGCCCTTGGCAAGGTGGTTCGGGAGTCAATTTCGAATGTGGAACTTTATCGAGCATCGATGAGAATGGAAGGAAGACTTCAAAGAATGAGACTGATAACGAAGATCTTCATCATCTTAATTTATTCATTGTTGGTACCGAAGGCGCTCGTAATGGGTCTCATCATGACTATTGGCCGATTTGGCATGCGTTGAAGTATGATTATGATTCGCCTGATGGAAACGTTAAAGCACATGTTGAATTCTCCGGAGTCGTCGACTGGGGTACATCATACGCTTATTCACAATTTGCAGGTGCAGATAACCGTCAGCTTCTAGTTGGATGGTGTTACGTAAGTTTCTTGTCTGCACATCAACGTGAAAAGTTCTTTTAATTGATTTTCAATGTTTCGAAATAACAGGAAGATGATGAGTACAACATCCTAAGTTATCAAAGGGGTTATCAAGGTGCATTCACCTTATTCCGAGATATCTTCGTAAAGGTCATTCGAGGAATTTTACCAACAGCCCCGGAATTAAATGAAAAGGATCCTAATTGGAAGGTGATCACTGAAAAGGATGGTTCTAAATCTATTGTCACTCTTGGTCAAAAAATAGTACCTGAGATTATAGCAGGATACAAAAAGCAATCTAGTATCACCAAGCTTGAAGATAGAACTTTGGATGTCGGTGTGGTTGGAGATGAAAAGAGTCGACCTATGAATTTGGTCGGATTTGAAACTCAACCTACTGATAAATACTTTGCAATCACTGCACAACTTGACTTTCATGGTTCATCCAACAATGCCACCAACATTGATCGCTCCAGCATGGTTAGGGGTGGGTTTAGGGTACTTTCCAGCGATAGGGAATGGACAGACATCTACTATGACCCTTCAACTGAGTCGATGGTCGTCTCGCGTCTCAATAGCTCCCTTATTCAGGCCTGTAAGTCTTTTTTATTTTGAATCTGAAGTACATTCATCGTGGAATACTAGGTGCATAAAGGTTGACTTGACTCTGAATTTTCTAGATGGGAATGAAACTGAAGCAGGCAGACTCAGACTTTGGCCAATTCAAGACCCTGTGATGAACACAATTTCATTACAATCTCTCAACTTGACCATCGTAGTGGATAACAGTATTGTTGAAGTATACGCAAATGATCAAACAGTCATCACCACCCGAGTTTATCCTTGGTTACTCAACTCAAATGCTGTGACATTCTTTGTTCAAGCACCCGATTCTTTCAAGAAGGTCAAACTTGATGATGATCAAGCACTCAGCAATCAAAATTCAACCTTCATTCCTCAATCTGTCACTTTTTCTAATGTTGAATTATGGGATGGACTTTTGAACGCTTGGCCAAACCGACCTCGTGATACCTCATTGCCCGGAATCTTTAGTCATAATATCACCAGTACTATTTATGGCTTATGGTCAGATATTTGAGCTCGCGTCACTTGGGCAGTTTATATACCATTGTAAATCTCTACAATGATTCTGTCTCTACTGATTTTCTCATTCTCATGCGTGTAATCACTGGATTTGTTGTCTTGAGCTGAAGTTGATGGATTTATTGTATACCTTTTTGTTGATCACCTTGCATTTTCTTGAGTAGGCATCTGGTTCCTTCATTTCAAATGTCTTTAAGCCAGCTAGATTTGGTTTATTATAGTTGTGTGTCTAGCTCTCAATTCATTACCAGTTCTTTTTGAATAGGTCTTCATTGTGATTGTACAAATTTACAATTGGTTTTCATGCCAAAATTGTGATGTTCAACTGTTCCTTCTTGCGATCAATCTTTCCTTTTGGCCGAACAAGTTCAACACCGCGCACTGTATGGATTTGATGCGAGTTTGAATTGTTCTGGTGATATTTTGACTACGATCCTCTTCTGGTGCCAGTGGCAATCAATTGGTGACCCACGCAGACTTCTCTCTTTCACTTACCCCAAAAACTTGTTATCAGTATTGAATACCTACTCACCCCCTCTCCACTGAAGACAAAGTGAACTTTTAGCTTCACTCCAGCCTGGTTTTTGAATGACGTCATGATCTCGTTTTTGTCATTAAATGCGTATATACAATACCTCGGGTGAAGTCAAAGGTGAATCACCGAATCCATCTTACAAAATGATTCCATTGGAAAAAAGACAATTGATGATATGTACTATCCAACAATCACTCATATTCCTTAACCTAAGAAATCTGAGCCAAAAACTTTTCTTCCAATTTAACATCTAAATCTTTCCCAATCAGAACCAATCTAGGTTTTCCCCCAACTTCTTCAGCTACATCAATTTCTTGAATTTCATATAAATCTCTAACAGCTTGAAGTATATACCATTTCCCATTTTGATCTTTGAGTAAACCTTTGGCTCTCAAGATTCTAGGTTCTTCTAATCCATTTTCTTCTTCTCCAATAACACCTTCCCAGATCAATTTACGAAACACTTTATCAAACTTACTATTTGATCCATTGATTGTTTCTAGGATTGGCAAGTCAATGGTTAATGTGCCTATACCTTGATGTCCTACTACTACTCCTTCCTTGAATATTTCTGTAAGAAGTCGTGATGGAACTTTTTCGTTTTCTTGGGCATTATTGAAACTTGAGAAAGCATCTAAATTAAGAAGTTCAGATATTGTTGAAGTCAATATTTGACTGGAATCATTCAATTTGGCGCCGGGATTGATAGATCTAATGGAAAAGATTGAATTGATGAGTTGCAGACAAAGCTTCGAGAATCCTTAAGCAATTCAATACAACTTACTCTATCAGTCTTTTGACCCGAGTTAGTTTTTCATCATCCACGAGATCCAACTTGGAAATATAGATCGAGTCGGCAACTGCGATTTGTCTAAAGTTATGGAATGACAGCGATGAAAGAAATGGTAAATTGACAAGTCATGTCGCTTCTGAAAATGAAGAGCGTGATCTTTTCATGCTCAACTTAGTCACTGTACCTGACCCATCTCGAGACTCCTCGTTCAATTGCTGAACACAATCATCCCCAAGCAGTGAGTAAACAGGAGTTAGCAAAAAAACTTCAAAATTGACTTATTTGCGTTTTGGAAAGAATAATGATATAAAGAGAAAATCAAAGCAATGAAAGAGGCTTACCATTTCTAAGTTAAGACTATCCACTGTGATAAGAATCCCATCTAAATAAAGTACAGACTCAAGAGCCGAATCTAACCAAAAAAGTGTAGCTATTTGTGATGGATCCGCCACACCTGTTTTATTCCAAAAAACCAATATACGTAACCAAAGTCTATATCAGTAATAAATTCAATTGTGTTGAAGGATTGATCATATGAATCTAAATGGATAGATCATTTACGGCTTGCCAGATGTTTCGATGATGATATAACTAAAAAGAATCGTGAATGCGTGAACCCAGTCAGTTCAGATTCTGCGCTAATTTCGGGGCCTTTGGAAGATCGAATGGATATAGAATTTACTCAAAGCTTCCACGTCTTTGCATTAATGATTCGATAGCTCGTACACCGTGATCTTGGGCGCTACAACACAAACATCCGTTCTATTTGTGCCATAATGACATACACATCACAAATGAGAAAAAGCACTAAGAATCAGAGCTTGTCACTGATCATCCAAAGGGCGATGATGATTGATTGCAAGATAAATCAGACTTACATCAAGTTCTAACCATTCCTGAAACTCTGTTCCTTCATTAGCAACAGTCAGTTGAATCGTCTTGCCTGTTGATTGATTGCACTCTTTTCAGTCAGTTGTTTTGTGAATTTTCTTGACTTGGAAGTTTGATTTAATGACCTTCGATATCAGCAGTTTGAGCAAATTCATTCATGATGACTGCAAATTTGAAATTCGATTGGTTTTTTAAAATTCGCCGTAATAAAGTCGATTTGCCACTTCCAAGTTGACCTGAAAGGATTGTCACTGGTACTTTTCTTCCTGACATTGTGATTTATTGTACAAAGAAATACTTCTGGTTAAGAGAATAATGTTGAGAAGGAGAAGCGCGAAGGGCGCTCGTCATTCGAGAAGTTGATCAGGTGGATGGACGTCCGTCGGTGCGGGTTCAGTGCCACGGTCCACCCCACCTGCTCACGTGCGGCTCTACTGGTCCTTGCATACCATTCTGCCGCAAAACCAAAGGGAGTGCCCGCACTTTATTTTGATCACCTCTAGACAAGTTGATTTGTAGAGTCACTCTCAACTCTCCCTGCAAACAAAGCCAACAAAGAATCTAGGACATAAATCATAGCACCGGCAAGATGACTTCTGCCTTGTTTGTTAGAAGAAACTCAGGCCACAATAAAAAGTAGGCCATCTCAATGGCCACACCCAGTCAGGGATTTGGGTGCACCCAGGTTCAACAACAGTCTAAAAAAGGTTGTTCCAGAGGTGTGTCTCTGCATTCAGGATGGGGCATTGGCAAGGAGCTACCAATCATGCACAAGCTGAAGCACACCTGTTGGTTGCCCTTCAGCAAAGCAATACACCTCATGTGGGTGAAGTTGTCAATGTTTGATAAGATTAGAAAGAGCTCCCAGACCAAAGAGCTAGGAGCTTGCATGAGGTTAGATCAAAAAACCTGTTGTGAGAACCACTTCTCTTGAGGTGAAAATAAAATCTGCCATTGCATTACCAGTGTCTCATTCTAACGTCCAAGAAGATGGCCATTTTGGCTGGCTTCTGCAAAAGCCTGCTTGATGTCTTTCTGAAAGTTACACAACCAGCTTTTCTCTGGCCAGAAACTCAAATTCATAACGTGATGGTTTTGTTCCACCATCCACAATTTGGCCAAGAGCCGAGTTCTTGGCCAATGTTCAGCCAGATCCAAGCTCAACCATTTTCAAGCTGGTTGTGTGATACAAAATGACAATCTATCATAATTTGCATATCAATCAACTAATTTTCTCAACCTCCCATGCAAAGCATTTGGGGTGAGGAGTAAGGTCCCTCTTGCCTAAGGAACCACTTGTTAGGTTCAACCCAAGTTACAATTGGAAATAGCTGAGTTGCTTTCTCATGTATTTTTCTCAAATTAAAATGAATAGAAGGCAAGAAGGCCTTGAGACATTGTTCAATGTGATAACATGTTGGGCTTGGGGGTTATCAAGCAATAGGTCTTTACTCGATTTGATATTGAATATTCTTGATTTGGTCAGGTATAACATATTGTTTGGCACCTACAGGGTCATTTATAACATTAAACAATGATCATGCATTTCAATTCAAGAAGAGATAAATAAAGTAGAAGTTCATGTTGTACACCGTTTGCCCTTTCCCGAGCCACTACCCAGAGCGTTCGTACCACCTTTGATCTTCATACGCTTGAAATAGTTTTTGGTTCTTCGTGTAGGTTTCTCGGGACAAGTCGGGTTTTCCAAACCTCCAAAAATGTGACCTTTCTTTTGACAATTATAACAAACGATGTCAGATGTGTCATGACTATCAGGAGGTGATTTCCGCTTGTTTTTCCTTTTGGGACGGGAAGGTTGGATGGTTGGGTTCGTGTTTGCAGGGTTTAAGGCCTCTTCAGTCATTGCACAGAGCACCACTTGCGAAAAGGTCATTGGTTGACCAGCAAGAGCTTTGCGTACAAATTCAGCTTGAACATGTTCTTTTAACCTGGTTGGAAGTATACTCATAAAAATAGTGCGTTCTTCGTATGGATAATTGATTTGAGTAGCATCGTTTTGAATTACTTTGAAGCGTTCAAATGCATCTCTTACACGCTCCCCTTGACGGAAAGCAAAAGTTTCAAACCGATCCGCCACCGTATACATCGAGAGACCATGAGGAAACGATTTGACGATAAATGACCAAAACGCATCCCAATCCGTTGGTTCTTTTTCAGTTCCAAGAACAGTCTTTAGTTGGGCCATTGCAGCGCCTCTTAACATCCGAAATCCAACTAGATGCCACATCCTTTCATCGCCATTGATCACTATTAAAGCCTCTGACAGAGATTGTAACCAGATGTTCGCGTCGGCAGGATTTATGCCGTCGTATTTGTTGAATTTTCTGGTGTGTAAGACTCTGATTAACTTGATCGGGTCAGATTCTTTGGAATTAGGTGATGTTCGAGCAATAACTCCAGGGGTCTTTGAGGCAAGGGCAGTCCATGTAAGCGGTTCCACAGGTGGGCCCAAGTTTGCAACAGTAGTGGTATCTGAGGTGTGGACATTCTCAGGAGCTTCAGAAAAGCGAAGTTTGTCGGATTTCTGCATAGATTGCCACGTACGGAAGGCGGCATAGGTGACTGGGTCCAGGATCACTGGGTCGACTAATTGAGGTTTAACATCGACATTGTTCGTTTCCACGTCTTCAATCTTTACACTAGAAGTCACAGAAGGAGGATGGGATCGGGGTTGATACCCAGAGAGAGGATACGTTGTCGTCGAGGGAGAGGAAGCAGGTTCTTTCCCTTGAGCTTCGAGAGCTGGCTTCTGGCTCTTTGAGACCAGAGGCACTACAGGGCGAGCAGATCCGGAAGGGGTCGTCGCGGGAGTCGCTGAGGTAGTCTCCTCTAAAGAAGGTCTTGAAGGATTGTTGTGATTAGTTGGAGAATCCAAAACTTCAGGAATGAATTCATGACGGTTGAAAGCGAGAAGCATTTGAAGACCAGTTTGTGATTGAAGATGAGTTGCTTGTCTGTTTCTTTTCAACGTATGAAAGCATTCCATTTGCTCAGGACTGAATTTGTCAAATTGTTCAATGGACCAATATCCAATCACTTGATTCCATGTATCGAAGAGCGGTGTTGGTAATTGCTTTAGAATCTCACTGTTTCCTAGCCCAGTTGTGGTGCTGATCAAGTCAGATGAAACTCTAGACATGATACTATTTAATATATCGGGAAAGAAATAAGTCAATTGATGAGCTTTGCCATTTCAAACTCGCTGATAAGAAGACTCACAAGGATGTGTCAAATGGCGAACGCGCTCGTGAAGGGCTTAGTTAAGCTTCGCTTTCAGGTATGGATAGCGCACGGAAGAGTTGTCCTGAGCGTGATTTAAAGTAGAGCAATTATTTCGAGTATAGCAAAAAGATGACAAGCAGATAAACGCAGCCTGGTTGATTTGAGGAGAAGCAGATAAATAATTAAACAAGCATGAAGTGAGATGCAAAAGGTAGTCTCGCTATTTATATTCAGAACCAAGTCAACGAACAAAAAGTGAGAATTCATCGTAAAACCAAGATGGCTTTCGCCTTGTTCGTTGGTTTAACTTTCAGGCCGTATTACAAAGTAGGCCATATCGTGATGAGAAACGGTCACACCTTGTCAAGGGCCGGGTAAGCCCAAAGTGAGATAATCTGACAGCTGCTTAAGAAATGACAGCCAGATGAAGGGCCTACATAGCGGTCCCCAAGACCAATCACTGGCCCTCCATGAACCCTACGTATGGAGTCGGCTCGGTCGATTGAGCCCCTCCTTCAACAAGATCGAAGCAAAGAAAGTTCATGTCACAGGACGTCACGGTCATCGTGAGGTCCTGATTACCCGAATGTGAATATCATGTCCTGTGTTTCCGCGATTCATACTGATTCGTCCTCGCCAGTATACACAGACCCACGATGTTTACCAAGAAGGATGAAGATCAAAAACCTGAAGTTTCAGATGGTATGAAAGTCTTTCTTTTGTAAACGTGAAACGCTGAGGAGAAGGTTGATGTGAAATGCTTGATCGATGAACCTTTCTTCAGTAAAAGTGGATTGGTGAGTCTTTCTCCATGACCTAGTTCCTCATTCGGTTGCTGATAATGACAATGATGTTTTGTTTCAAGTCCGATTTGTTCTCAACCAGTTTCTTCAAACCTCATAAACTTACATCTCGATTCACATCTTCCCATCAACTCAACTTCTCAATCTACTTTACCGTTTCAATCGACTTCTGTCAAACGCAAAGCTTCCGATTCTGGTCTTTCTACACCTTTGATTTCGCGTCAATCAAGTCAGAAGAAACGTACAATTCCGGCAACTGTTTCTAGTCCCTCTCTCGATACTACTTTCACCATCAACAATAACAATACCAATGAGAAAAACACCTCGAATACACTCAAACCACTCGCTGAGCGCGTTCGACCTACTACCCTCGATCAATGTATAGGTGACTCTTGGTAGCTTCTCCTTTCTATGCTGCATGCTGCTAACCATATCTACTCGTCAAACATAGCTTCTCCAGATCTGATTGGAGGGGGTGCAGGATCAAAACCAGGCTTAATACCGACCCTTCTTCAAACCGGCTCATCAATAACACTCTGGGGGCCTCCAGGTTCAGGAAAGACTACAATAGCAAGATGTTTAGCAGCTGGATCAAATCATACGTTTTGCGAATTATCCGGTACAGATTTTGGTGCGGCTGAATGGAGGAAATCAATTAATGATCATACTTCAAGAATCAATCCTTGGAAACGTTCTTCTTCCTCTTCTAGTGCGATTCCTTTACGAAGACTTATTGTTTTTATAGATGATGCACAGCGTTTGAATAAGACTCAACAAGATTGTACGTCTTTCTTATACTCTTTACCAAGATATCAAGGAGATTGGTGCATTTTTCTGATTGGAAATTTGTTTTTCGATCTTCATACAGTACTTCTACCTCATATTGATTCAGGAGAAGTCATGATGATTTTATCAAGTACAGAGAATCCATCCTTCAAATTCACAAATAGATTAATGTCCAGAACCCGTTTAATCGAACTCAAACCTCATTCTCACGCAAATACATTATCTATTCTTAAAAGAGCCTCTGAACTTGAATCTTTTAAATTCGAAGAAGAAGAAGAAATTCTAAGTAGGATTTCTAGGGCTGCTGATGGTGATGCTAGAGTTGCTTTAAATCATTTAGATATCTTGATTCATTTTTCTAAATCTTCTGAAACTTCCATCAAATTTGATGAACTCTCTGACATACTTGGAAAACGGTATGTTTTTTATGACAAGTAAGCTGTGTTACAACGATATATCACTTTTTTGCCCTTTGGTCGCTTGAGTCATATACTCATTGATCTGTCTTTGGGGTATTGATTATTAGCGACGGTGATTGTCATTATGATATGATTTCAGCTCTGCATAAAAGCGTCAGAGGAAGTGATCCAAATGCTGCATTATATTGGTTAGCAAGAATGTTAGGTAAGTACGAAGATTTCAAAATTTACTCGTTCAAAAAATCTCTTGTCTGAAAATAAACAAACACATTTCACAGAAGGAGGAGAAGATCCATTATATGTGGGTATGTCTTTCTGATTTGAACAATATTTTTCAAGCGGCTTTATGACTGATTTTATCACATTAGCACGTCGATTGGTTAGAATGGCGTCTGAAGATATAGGTGCAGGTAATCCTGACGCTCTAACTCAAGCCGTAAGTGCTTTTCAAGCAACCCAACTGATCGGTATGTATTTTCTCTGAAGCTTTTTTTGTGGTCCACTCTTGATCATGGATCGCATTGACTTGAATTGCTCAATAGGTATGCCTGAAGCTGATACAATCTTGGCTCAAGTTGTGGTGATGCTAGCCGAGTCACCTAAAAGTGTAAGATCTTATAAAGCGTACGTGCTCTCTCCTCAAAGTACTAGACATTATAAGATACAAGTTAGGTTGAATACCAGGGGTGAAATTAGGTATAAGCGAGCAAAAACGTTGGTTGCCAATTCGCCAGCTCACCCAGTTCCAATTCATCTACGAAACGCTCCAACTAAAATGATGGAACAGGTCAGCAGATTCTTTGTTTTTCATCAAAAGTCAATCAAGTACTAAGAACGCCAAGTTTGAGAGTTTTCAGTTAGGATATGGAGCCGATTATAAATACGAACCTGGATATGCTCATCCAATAGCCCAAGAATTTTGGCCAGTAGGAATCGATTCAAATCAAAGACAACTTTTAGCAGAAAGTGGATCTTCTACAGGTGAGGCTAGCTCAGGCAAAAGCGTAGATTTGAAATTATTAAAAGAATGGGAAGACGTTAAAAATGATGGAGTACCTTGGCAAGGACGATCGGGATTGAAACTTGGAGAGTAGAAATTGTGAATATAGGTTTGTGACGAAAAAAAAAACTTTTTTTAGTCAAAACTTGCGCTTTGATGACGTCAAAAATGCGTCCCCGGGCAGGCTTGAACTGCCAGCCTCCTGATGATGTCACACTTGGATACCCTGGTAACAGTCAGACGCGCTAACCAATTGCGCCACGGAGACACACGACTCTCAATGCGTGTTTCGTGCCATATTGACACACAGCATTGAGAGGACTTCGGCTGAAGGAGTGTATACACCCAGTTTCCCGTCTCCACTAGGCCTCAAGATTATCATCTCGGCCACAGGCAAAAAATAAGAGAATAAAGTGGAAAAAGGCTACCAAAAATACAAATACAAGAGACAAGGAGAAGAATGGCGCGCTTCGTTTGACATATCCTGAGCGCGTCAGTAGCGAAACCCCGCACCTGAATGCTATCAGGTGCACGGGGCGCGCCGTACGTTGAATAATCATTCAAGCCTGATGAATTTCAGCATACATGGTAAAATGGCTTTGTGATTACGAAACACAAGAGATCGACGACTGACTCTCAACTCAGCCTTCATCTTGATTATAAACAATGTCACGCAGGTTAGTAAACTCTCTCTTTCTTTCCTTGGATCTCATATATCATCTCCTAAGCTTCGATAAAAGTTCTGACTAGGCTCTGACAGACCACATATTTCTAAAACTTACGGAGCCAAAGTTGGTAGTATTTTCGGTCATCCTTTTCTACAAAATTAGTTGAATTCTTATATATGAGATTGAAATACGCCTGTAGCCCGGAAGACGAACTCAATATGGTACTTCACATTCTCAATGGATTTTAGATTCACCCGAACATAGTTCATCTTGGTCTTCACCTTCTGCGTCTGTTCTTGCACGAAGTCATAACCATCAAGCTCATAGTGGATGGAAAGACGCCCACGAATCTCAGACTGGCAGCGAAGCGAAACCTGGAAAAACACCTGAAACCAGCATGACCTCGATTTCAGCCAATGATGTTCAGATTACCCGTCGCAAGACTGGACGGGAATTGGATAGCTTACACGGTCCAACTCAAGGCGATCATTCGGAAAATGAAGAAGGCGCTTCAGCTCATGCAGCTTTTGCAGAAAATGCGAACCAACTCAAAACCTACGGGGCTCGAAAACATAATCAGAGATATCGGGCCAACCGAGACATGACGCAGGAGAAGCAGGAGTCTGAAAATATCATACAAGGCGTATCCAATGATCGACTTCCTTCAGGCCAACCTCCGAATAATCATAGTAGCCGTCATCGGGACAAGGAAGCTGGTGGTATTATCAGTAGGGATGAACCTGAGGATGCAACCATAGCAACACAATCATCGTCGGATAACACCCTTCTGCTGAAGCCAATAGCCGCCGTTCCTCGAGTCGTCATCCCAGCAATTCCAACTCACAAACGCTTGGGGGTCGACAGGTCGTCCAAAGAAAAAGCAAACTCCCGTTCCAATGCTGAATCACCAGTTTCCCACCCCCTTTTTCCGCCGCAAGGAGGTCAGAGAAACGTTCGAGGTAGGATCTCACTTTCAACTAGTTCTGCAAGGCGAAATCGGTGGCATAAGTCTTCAACCCAAGCAAGCGTTACAGTTACCTCAGCTGTCAGTCCACTGCGTCGGACGTCCGACCACGAAACTGGTAGTGAGTGGGAACCAGATGTGGAAAGTGAAGTGGAAAATCGACCACCGCCGGATGTCTTCCGTGACCGAAACCTGCCGCGTAAACCCGATCGAACTCGTCAACATCGTAGGCCCGTATTGCGCTTCGATGCGACCGCTGATTCGCCTCAGCCCCATGCGCTAAGCAAGAGAGTAAATCGCGCAGTAATTCAAAGTGGTTCGGAATCAGAAGATGAACCAGCTCCAGTCTCGCTCAAAACTAAGGCACTCGCCTCTCACCCAAATTTTACGGCGCCCAAGAATTCTATGACTGCAAATCATCCTCAGTCCCGTGCCACACGAAAGAGAGTGAATCGACGTAGTGCCACGGTGATCCAAAGTGATTCAGGTTCCGATGATAACAGACCCCCCACCATCGAGTCAACATCCGGACTTACAGAACTTGACTCACTACCCGAAGTAGCTCCTGTTTCACGCCGGATTAGGGTACCGTCCGATCAGCAAGACGATGGCGAACCCAAGATAGCTCGCACTAAAACACGAACAAGAAGGAGGCTCCAAGACACGGACAATTCAGAACAAGAGGACTCTATTGAAATCGTGTCGACTAGACCCAGAGAAATCGACTCGCAAGCTCAAGCACCTCCTGTCCCACGCAGAAGTAGAGTACCTTCATCCCAGCAAGATAAAGCAGAACCTAAGAAAGCTAATACCAAAACACGCTCAAGAAAGAAGTTCCAAGACATGGACAAAGGACGTAAAGTTAACTTGAAAACTGGCCACTTGTCAACGAAAGAGCTTAGTCCGGAGGCTTCAGAACAAGATGACTCTATTGAAATCGTGTCGAGCCAGAATCAGGCTGTGGTTGTGATCCCACAATTATCGACACCTAAGGGATATCCTCTCAAATCTCGGCCAGCAGCCAAACCATTTCGACAGAACCACTCTCCCCTCCCTCAACCTTACGCGCAGCCACCCATGGCAATTTCCCCTGTGATGAAAATTCACGGAATCCCTGTAGCTTTGGCTCCACCGCCGGTACGGAGGATTCGGGGAAGACTATCACTCGCTACTAGTTCAGCGAGAAGAGCACAGGCACGAACATTTTCTACTGGGGCCCCTGCCACGTTTGTGCCAACCAGTCCGGATGTTACTCGAGATTTCCCTGGAGTGTATGATTTGACGAAAACCGATCCGCCTAGCTTTGAACTTGACCCTTCACCTCATAGACCAAGACAAAAGACATTTGCCCACCCTGTCTTGTACGCTTCTCCTCGTCGCCCAGGGATGTACTTGACGCCTGTGAAGATGAAAAATAGATCAATGTCTGATGGTCGCCTGGTTTGCTCGCCATATGTACATCATCCAAGTCCTGCTAAGCGAGCTGGCGCATCAAGAATTGTTCAAGAATTGTCTAGTTTACTTCAGACTTGTGGGCAATCTGTCATCTATGAATTCAATAGCATTTTCAACAAACCTCCAGCAACTATCTTCAGAAATTTGTCCCGTTACAGGCCTCTAACTGAGGGTTCTTGGATGAAGATTGCAGAAGCGACATTCTCTGAGGTTTATAGCTGGTCACCTGAAGAATGCTCCGATTCAGCCGACAAAGGTTCCAAAGCGCATGAAGCTTTTGTTATGAAAGTAGTTCCGATAAAGAGATCGGCAGGCCATAGTCAACGAAGACATGCGACCAAGATGGCTGATCAAAACTATGATAGTCGGGTTGGAATCGAGGCTGATGAGTTTCCATGCGAAACAGAGTGGGTTGATGTTGAAAAGGAGATCGAGTTGGCGCGACTTTTAGGTTCTGAATCTGAGAAGGGCTTTCTCAATTTCCGTGGGTAAGCGTTCGTCAGTAACCTTTTGGCCATCCGATGACGAACTAGGCTTTTATAGCACTGGTATTGACCATATCAACTCTTTGTTTGATCTTCCGTAGTGCATTCATCGTCTCTGGGGCATACCCGCCTATCCTGCTCAAGGAGTGGAAGAGCTATCAAGAACGCTTTCCTGAAAAAGTGTACAATCCAAGCCCAGGTGAATATAAGGCTTCATCTGACATCGAGTTGTAGAGGGTTCCGCTCATCTTATCGACAAGGCTAACAGTATATCACTCTACCAGGTAAGTTTTCTCGGCGACAGCTGTATTGCTGTATGCTATCTGGCCGAGCTGGTGAGGATCTTGAGAGCTTTGGTCTTAGAAACTGGCAGGAGGCTACGAGTGTGTTGTCACAGGTGGCTCATACGTTGGGACGAGCTGAGAGGGATCATGAGTTTGAGGTAAGAAATCTCAATAAGAAGGCAAGCGCGTGACTTTTGACCTTATGAGTACTGGCTTGATTTTCTTAGCATAGGGATCTTCATTGGGGTAACATCACAGTCCAGCGTCACGAATCTAACCCTGAAACGAGAGGAAGCGGGCGTGCTAGTAATGGAGAAACCGCCACTGATGAACTTGTCGACCTCATGGCGAAGACAGCGATCAAAACTGTGACTCAGGATCCACTGAGTTCTTCCAAAACGAAAATTTCAGTCACTCTCCTAGACTTTGGACTATCACGAGCAAGACTCCAGATTGATGAAAATCGGTCTCACGTCATTTGGACTGAACCGGATCCTGACATTTTTGGTGGTACAGCTGAAGCTGTTGATTATCAATTTGAGTGCTACGATCTCATGAGTGCAGCACGCAAAGACAAAAGTTGGAGTGATTATAACCCATTTAGCAATGTGATCGTCAGTTCTATTTCCTTTAATCTTATGTTCTAATAACCCATTCACTCCAAGCTGTTTGCTAATCATAGCATGTCGTTTGACGATAAAGTGGTTGCATTATCTCTCTCGAAAATTGTTGGAAGAGAAAGGCTTATCAGCACCTCGGATCGGACCGAGCGGAAACAAGGGTTCTTCATCAATGAAGAACCCTTCAGATTTACGTCTTGAACAAACTTGTTTTAAACTTCTTCAGGCTGCCGAACGGATTCTTTCTGATGCAGTCAAAGCTGAAATCGAAAGTCATCGTCGTCGAGCAGCGCGATTCTTACCGAAACGAATCTCATCTAATTCTAGTACAACGCAGGTTTCGATCAGGTCTGCAGAATCATTTACAGATTGGTGGGATTCAGAACGTGCAGATATGTTAGATTGAAAATCTCATGAATTCCTTTTCTGCTCCCCTATTTTGAGTCTCTATGCTCCGTTAATCACTAACTTGTTCTTCTCTATCTGTTTCTGCTTTTGTATGTAACAATGCTTCATATCAAGATCATTTGAAATAACTTTGTAGTCAAAATACCGCAAAAAGATTGCTGGGTGTTTTTATTGACTGATTGCTTTTGGTCATTTGCTCACGGAACATATTGTTGAGAGTATCACCTGTACCTTGAATATTGTGAGCTTTCAATGAGAGCTCAATACAATGACTCGAAACTCACCCTATGTTAAAAAAAGCAATCCCCACATACCCCAGCTTGGTATTGATCTTCCCATTTTGGGGTTCCCCCAATTGGTACAAAACTTGTCACAATACGTGGCCAGTTGTCCACTATGTATATAGGCAAACGCAGCCTTAAAAAAACTTCATTGAAACCTCTATGGTTGCTAGTGCCAAGAAGCGTCAAATCTTGGACCGGATATTTCTCAAAAACTACACTTCAAGACAAGATTTAGTTATGTTGTAGAAATCAACTAAAACAAGAAGTTCAAATAATTGAATTTCCAATGGCATATCTGGATTGCCATCAATGCCAGGAGTCCAACAGTATCTTTGGCTCACAAATTCAGTGAGTTTTCTTGCTCGGCCTCAAGTTGGAAGAGTAATACCCGCTGGTCTGACCTTTGACGCTTCTCGGCACTACCAACCATACAGTTTTCCTTTGTGATTTTTCTCATATTTGGTAAGGCTTCTCAATTAAAGACCAAAATCCATAACATGGCAGCAGCAGCAGACCACTTTGTCTCATAAAAATTGTGACCTTCATGGATGTGAACCTAGGCCTCTAATCCACATACAACCTATTAAAAATACAACTCTAAACTTGGAACTAGCTCCTTCCCACACTACACCAATTGACATATTTTCCCAGGGATATAGAAAAGTAATGTGTGCATAGAAAACTATGGGTAGAGTAGGACCCTGGAGAGCGCAAACTGACCCTACTTATTGGTACCTGAATTCCGTTTTGGTCGGGTTTTGGGCTTTTCCCGTGCAACCATGACCATTTTACAAGTTTTGAAAGCGGCAACAGATGGAACAAGGCCACGGCTTTCTAGTACATATACTTTTGTCATGGTAGGAGCAGTATTTTTGGGTAAAACCCAATGTAGAGACCCCTCCCCGGTATGTAGGAATACGTCCGGGATCATTGAAAACAAAAGTCAGTTTTTTGTGTTTTTCTCCTCAACCAGCACTCCAATAAACTTGAGGTGGTATCATAAGGTAGCCTGTCTTTGCCCGTACACACCAAGCTACTGTACAGCTTCATAGGTAGACAAGTGTTGTGTGCAGGAGCAAATACCCAAAAAGTGTGTTTTGTCACTAGGGTCTGCACGCACTCTCCAGGGTCCTGGTAGAGTACTTTTCTATGCCCGCAAAAAAATTCATTTGATATGTCCATGTAAAAAGTTTGAGATAGGGCAATTGAGCATCTTCATTTGAGCTGGTTCAGCTGTATGTATCCAGACCCAAAAGAAGCCACCACAGTTCCAAACTTAACCAATTACTGCACCAAAGGCCCAAGGCTAGGGACCAAGCAAAGTTTGCCACAGTGCATAGAATCTTGAGTTCCCATTTTTTTGACATTTGATCTATGCTTATAAAAGAAATTCTTATACATTCTCACAGCCCTGCGCCAGCAACGCAAATGTTGTGTGCTGCGCTGGGCATTGAAGCACCTTTCTGGCCCCCGCCCCAGTCCTCAAATCCCAAAATCATGTTGCGGTTGGGGCTGCAACACATTTCCCTAGCAGGTTCCTGGATTTTTTTGGGACCACAACATCTCATGTGGAACTGCGGGATGTGACCGCAGAGTTGTGGTTGTTGCAGGTTGGGTCAATTCTTCTATGCTAACCCCAATTGGGCAATGATTTCTGCTGGTTGTTCACCAAATTGACAAACCTGTACACAGCATAACCCAATCAAGAGACCTTTGATACCATGTATTGGACCATCCGTGACAGCACGCAGGCAAGGGGTGACTGTGTAGAGCTATGAGTCATTCACACAAAAGCAAAATACGCCGTAAGGGATTAGTGTTTTGCTCCAAGTGTTAATACGAAGAAGTTTTGAAACAGATCATTTATTTCACGACACAAGAACATAACAGACACAAAACATGTATACATGAAGAGAGAAATAAAAAGATATGAGAGAAACTAAACAGAGACAAAAGATGAGACCATCAGCTTACCTATGAGTCATTCACACAAAAGCAAAATACGCCGTAAGGGATTAGTGTTTTGCTCCAAGTGTTAATACGAAGAAGTTTTGAAACAGATGAGGATCAAACTTCTTCGACTCATAGGTGGCTCTTTATAGGACGGACACACAGACAGCAAAGAGTTAAAAAGAGAAAACGCAGACTAGAATAAAGTGAGAGACTGTAGCCAGGAAACATATCAAATAAGAACATATTTGAAAAAGACACGTATAGAGATGAGCAATTGTATGAGAAAGTGTATTTGAGAGAACAGCATGTTTATTTGAAATGAGGATAGAAAAGAGAAGACAACTTTATTTGTAGCAAGTAATAACCAATAACCAACAAGAGCTCCATAAAGACAGCCTCCTGGGTTGGGAAAAGGTGAGTTCTTTGTTATCATCCTCTTTCTCTGTTTCCTTTTCCTCCAAATCCAAATCACTGACCACTACACTCCAATTGACTATCATAATAGATACTTACTTTTAGTTCAACTTCACATACTCCTTTCACCTTTATCTACAAGCTCAACACCTCTTATTTATACTATTATTTGTCTGTCGTAAACCACTTCAAAGCTTCTCAGAGATCTTGAACCAACATGCTGTCCTCAGTTCAAATTCGACCTCACACCTCCCATGCTGGCAAAGCTCACAGTGAAACCCCCTCCAGACCACTCCATAACAGAACACAAGTCATCACACCTGGGATGGTTTCACCATCACCAGACTCTCATCGATGAATCAGCTATGGTCAACCTGAGAAGACCAACAAGAAGCGCAAAGAGCCAACTGACAGCGCCAAAGATGGTAATGGTATTAGGGTAACCAATTCCAACGCTTCAAGCCTTGCTGGAATAAAAAAGCAGAAGATGTCAAGCACCTCTCAATCAAAGTGTTGCAAGAAATCAATAACCAAGCGTGAGGTGACCCATGATGATGATGAAGTGAGTGGTTCCTCCCTTTACTTGTGTTCAAGTATGATCAGATTTATGATTCAATCTTCAAAATCTCTTCAATTTAGAGTGTCTCATCCAATGTCACCAAGAGTATGCCACAGGCCAATTCTCATGTTGAATTCATAGGGGAAAGACCACTAAAGAAGCCCAAGAAGGACCATCCAGCCAGTGAGCTAGGCCAAATGAGGGCCCACTTCCATGATCCAGTGCATGAAGGTCATGATGTAAGATTCTTCCTGATTCCTTTCATCATTTCTTTCTATTGTTTCCCCTCTTTTTATCTTACTTCTTTTCTTTCATTTCTTGTGATGAAAATCTAATGCTGGTCATCTTTGGGATATGAGGACAAATCAAAGCCACCTCTTTTGTATATGTGTCAATTCAGTAAGAAAGATGAAAAGGACCCTATTTGTGTTAGCTATAGCAACATGACGGGTAACCTTTGGAAGCACCACAATTGGTCAACATTGGCCGTAAGTTCTGATGTTGGATGTCTTGGAAGACTCCAGGCTAAAGAGGATAAGTCTCTTGGCGTGCCACTTTCAGTGGCCAAACACCAGGCTGCTGAGAGAAACAAAGGAGCTAGTACCCCCAATAGTTTTGTGATCTCTACCCTGGGACTCAAGTTCTGCAACAATACTTTTAACCAGATGGCTTTGACCTGGTTAATCCAACACGCACTACCTTGGTCTTGTGTTGAGGATCCACTATTGCAAGCCATGGTGAGTTACCTTCAAAGGCATATGAAGCTGTTCAGACACAAATGGGTAGCAAAGGAGGCAAAGGCGATTAACACATCATTGAAACAGAATGTGTTCAAGGAATTTAAGGTAAGCCACCTGATCCCCATTGCACATTGTTTTCCATTCCATTTGTTTGACTGAATGAAATCAATTGTTTGAATCATCATCTATTCAGCAACTCACTTCAAGATTCAACCTTGTACATGAGCCCTGGACCAGCAAGGGGAATTGCCATGAATTCATTAGCACCTTGGTTACCTTTATCAATCTAAAATGGATGTACCATGTTCAACATGTGGCACTCAAGGTAGTTAGTTGTATGGAACCATCATGGGCCTTGGTTGGCTTAGCCAATTGTCAATCTGTTGGTTAAGCATGGTATATATCAGAAAATTAGTATCCTATTTGCTGATTCTCTCTACGTCTGTTTGGAAAGACATCAACAAACAAATACTGACATTATTTATTTCTTTGTAATTTCACATGCTATGCTAGAAAACAGATTCTGGAACTAACAACAATACCATGGCAACTGAGATGCACCATCAGTTTTTATGACTACTGCAAGAGCCAGGAACAGGGATCAAGTACCAATGACAACCCAACAACATGTACATCTTTTGTTTTTGCCATAAATTGGATTTAATTGTAAACACGGGGCTTGCAGAGCTAGGAGTCAAGGCACCACCTCCAGCAAAAGTCAAATCCACTGCCTGTGGCTTTTTTCCTACAATTAGTACAATTACCAAGGAAGAAGAAGAAGATCTAGATGTAGAAGATCAACCTGAACACAATCTTGACAATCTAGATGAGTCAATCCCAAGTTGAAAGCAAAGAGTCAGCGGCATAAATCAAGAACAAGGATGACTGGGACCTTGCCAATGGTGAGGATGATGTCTCACCGGCCATTACTTTGGAAGAAGAAGTGGCTCCAACGCACAGGCGTCAAGCCAATCACGTTGACTGTATACTATGCAAGGTGATTCTTTCCTCATTTTTTCTGACACTGGTGATTGTTGTCTCATTTCACTATCTTTGTATTTTTAGGTTGACTTCATTGTTTGCCACATCACATGCTCTACTCCCTGGCGTAGGAATTATTAGATGGAATATCAAGTACAAGAGCCAGAATAAGGCTTGGCTCACAAGAGATGTGTGTTGTTTTATTATTTCATTTGTCCTTTATCATTTGATTAATAATTTGTTTCCCCAGGTAATTGATCAACTCTGTAAAGAGGATGTGGACCGTGTTCTCGCTGTTGGCCAGCGCCCACATAAGAATGGGAAGCCTTATGGCTATTTCCTCCACCAGAATGAGATTACAACTGCTGAGTGGGCTCAAGTTTGTTGTGTCAATGTTGAACTTGAGGTATGTGAAAAACTGACATCTCATCAATCTGACTATATACTATTACTGACAATACTTATATTTCTTGACCTCCTCTAGGCGTTCCTTGGAACCACCCTCAAGATGGAAGTTGACAGGCCAACAGGTTGTATGGTGATACCTCAGTATGTGGAGATTTGTCATAAGCTGGCAGAGAAAGTGAAAGAGTTGAGTACTACAGACAGTGTTTACCCGATGATAGTCAAGATGTTGGAGAAAACCCAAGAGTATTTTGATGAAGTGCTTGGCTGCAAGACTTTAGTCATGGCAACCCTTCTCCACCCTCTCTTTTGGCTCAAGTTCTTCACCAAGTGGTTTGGTGGAAACTTTGGAGAGGTTCCAATGAAAATTGACTCCACTTTGTGTCAAATTGATTCTGAATAAGAACCAGAGGGGGTGAAACTTTCCCAAAACAACTCACAGCCCATGGGTTCATATCCATCTACCCAGTCCAGGATGTTCCACAACAAGTACTCAGATGTTAATGATGAAGCCAACACAATTGATACCTCTTTGGAGAACTATCTGTAAATGTCAGACAAGATGCACCAGATAGATTATGACTTGGCAGATCCTAAGGAAGCTCTGAAATGGTGGTTGGTATGTCTATAAACATCTTGCTTTAATATCACTACATAACACTTACATCTTTGGTTTTCTTTGTTTAGCATCATGAAAAAGACTATAAGATCCTGCCATTATGGCACGTAATTTGCCTTGCCTCATCCGGCTCAGCATGCACTGCTGAGCGGATTTTTTCCTGCGCTGCTGACGTCTGTGCCAGCAACTGCGGTAGTTTACTTGCAAGAACCATTGAGGCATTAGTATCTAGTTGTTTATGGTTAAGAGAAGGGGTAGATTTTGCAGAACTTGTTGCTGTTCTGGAAGCTTTTGGTGGAGCTGTAGATCTAAGATGATATTTTGTTCAGATTTAGACAGTTGAAAAGGATTCAAGATGTGCTTTTTTATTTCTTCTTTCATGTTTTGTACCATGCTTTGTGGTGTTGCGCTGTTGTTGTGTTGTGCTAATGGAGGCTCACAGCACCTTGGCCTATTCCATGTTGCGGGGGTTTTCCGCAATGTCACACACGGCGCACCACTGCAAACAAGGGCCTGCTGTGGTGCAATGCGCTGCTGGCCCAGGGTTGATTCTCAGCAGTGTATGTGAACATGTATGTACAATCTTGCACATATTGACAGGTGCCATTTCCATAAATCATTACTGATAGATCATGCTTGCCTGTTGGATGGGGCTTGAGAAGCATTTTGGTGATTTAAATGTATTTTACATGTGTATAAAAATATTGTTATCTGTGGGTACAGAAAAGACTGGTTTGTATGGACGTAGACAAGTTTATCAGTTTTCTATGCACACACTACTTGTCTATACCCCTGAGAAAAGATACCATTTGGTGTAGTGCCACCCACAATGTACAAGCTTCCTTCTTCATCTAGAGTTGATTTGCAAGATACCTCTGCCATGTCAATCTATTCAATGGTGTGGGCCACCAATGTTTCAAAAGTCTCAGAATTCAAAACAAACAATCAAAGAAGATTGATCGCAGTAATTCTTGTCATTGGGTTGCTGTACATAAGTCTCCACAATGTGCATCACGGAATGCCAGGTATATATGGAAGCTTCCCTGGGTTACTGATAAAATCTCTTCACAAGCTTCAAACAATGAAGCCCTGTGTTGGTGTCTTCCTCAATAAACACATCTTCAGTTTATATATGTCAGTAGCACCAACACCTCCCACGGCAACATGATAATTGTACTTTAGTTATAGTCAGCAATAGCTGGTGAAATCTGTGAAATCAAAAGCACTTCACAAGAAAACCAAAGGGAAGCAAATCTCCAAAACAGTTCTGTAGAACAAAGAGTCCACATCACGAGTTTGAGCCTCAAAAAGACTGGTCAATATGGGGATCGAACCCATGACCTTGGCATGTATAACAGGTATTAGTACCACGCTCTACCAACTAAGCTAATCGACCATTGGAATTCGAAACCGTATGCCGGCTGCGGTGGCCCGGAGAAAATGCAAGCATGTCCTGCATGCTCAATAGATATCTGCAGATTGGGCATCAAGGCGCCTAAATAAACAACCAAAATAGTGAAAGATAAATCATACAATTGAGGTCTCTTACATTTGAAAACTAAATACAAATGGTCCATTCAACCAGCTTGACTCGAATCTACCGATGGAGGACTGAGCAGTGAAGGAGGAACTGCAGTCCCACTTGACGGTGCTTTCGGTTTCTTGAAACATACAAATGCTAAAGCAGTTGTCCGTCGACTAGATTGAAGTGTTCGTTTCAATGCTTCTAATTCATTCTGTAGTACCTCGTTTGACCCTTCTAGGTTCGGTGTACGTTGATAGGCAAGACTGATTTTTTTGTAGATACTTTGCAGAGTCTGGTCAGCTTCGGGTGTCACGTACGCTGTCAAAGTTTGATGCACAAACTCGATCTCTAACGTAGCCTAGATCACAACATCACCATTTCGTAAAACAGAATATTAGTATGAATATAACATTGTAAGCTGATTATGTACTGTCTTCAAACTTACCTGTAACATTCCACCCATGCCAAATCTTTCTACATTTCCAAAAGCCTCTAAACATTGGTTGGCGAGTTCTTCAATCAATCCAGACAATACTGTCTTTACCAAGGATGATCCACCTGGATCGCCACTAGAAGACGGGTTCGGGGGTCCAGCGATTGCAGAGACTTGCGCATGGACGAGCACAAGTGAAAGTAAAGCATCATACACAAATGCATGTACCTCTGAGGTAGTGAAAAGGATAAGTCAACGGAAGACCATTATCCACGGCGAATAAGTCGCAGATACAACAGAATGCATATTAACTAACCCGTCGGTTTGGGAGCTAGGAACCAGTCGACCTGAAGGACCCCAGCGTTGATGATATCCGCAAGTATCACTGACTTTCTCTTGATATAGTCCCCGAGCAAAAGTGCGTCAAGCTGTCCGATGACGTCCATCAAAGTCTGCGAGAAGGGATTCGATCAATGACCTTAGACGGGCCTGTCATTCGAAACTATCGCACAAGTGGGGCAAGGAACTTACTGCCGTATCCGTTGTCATATCTACCCGAAATGCGACTTGGAATTGTCTGAACAGTTTGGGGATATAAGTTGTACGTAGATGTGACAAATTGCTGATCGTCAATAGAACTCGCGTATCCTATTGGATATCACAGTTGTAACACAATCCAACAGTCAAGACCTTGCCTTGTGATAGACAAAACTCGAATTTCGACTTTAAGGGGAAGAACATGACATACATTGTGTTGTTCCTGTATTTCAGGGTGAGTCACATCTTGATTAGCTTTCGAAGCTTTCATTAGCATCGAGCTGAATTTAATCCCCGCAACAGCATCTGAGAGTTCATCTACTGATGGCAGCGGCTTCGGAGGCGTGAAAGCGACGTGAACTAAGCCGTCTAAGAATCCATAAAGTGCATCTAAAAACGCAGACTGAGCCTTTTTAGCGCAGTCGACTTGCAGGATCTGAAAGTATTGGTCAACAGTTAAATCGAGCTTGAAACTTTATGAGTGTGACACAGCAAACCCACCTCTGATTTTGATTTATTGGGCAATTGAGCCTCTTCGGAGCCCGTGAAGATTGCGTTGGCAGTGGTGTCTGTAGCACCAGCCAACCTGAAAGCTGTCTGTGTAAGATGTCGATGAAAGGTATAAAGTCGGGTCAAGTATATGGTTGTACCTGCTACATATTCTTCCTTATCATTTTTTTCTGGCCTTGTCCAGTCCTCCAATCTATGGAATATTTTTGAATCTTATGAGGCAATAGAAAGGTTATGAAAACGTGAGTGTGCTTCGCATGTGGCATATAGATGATGATGAATTTTGGCTGGCTTAGCGGACCTCGGACCCAATATACGGAAAGACTTGCTTCAAATCTGAACCTAGCATTACCGATCATCTCTTTCAAGCACCCCAAACTCTCTTCTGGAAGCTCCAAGCTACCCACTTCATTTGACCAGTCCACCAGGCTATCGATCATTTTTTTGAGATAATAGCCTGCCGTGATTGAATTGGTGTTCCTAGGCAAGAATTCTGGGACGGCTGAGCCAGCCGCCTTTCCAAGCGGTGAATTTGGATCTGACGTAAAAAGGAAAAACTGTGATAGGAGGTGAACGTAGGTTGTGATGATCTCGTTTGTCATTTGTTTACATGTCTCCGCTCTACGACTTTTCATATCTTTCCGGGTCTTCACGTCAGGCTGGATGTGGTGAACGACGAACGATTAAGATATATCAGTCTTGTGGATCGTTGTAAGCACTCGGAGCGGCCACCAACCCTTTGATATTTCCCGTCGATATAACCTTTGACAATCTTCCAGTACGGTATAATTTCGCGGGACAGAAGCTCGGACGGAACTCGGATAAATTCAAGTAAAGCTTTCCACCCTTGGCTACCTGAGGCTTGTCCTAAAATTGCTTCAGCCTCAATTGAAGGCGGAAGATCTAAAATACCGAGGCAAGTCCGTATATCGATTGCAGATTGCTCTTCTTTAGCACGAGCCGTGTTCAATTCGGCCAAGATTTCTGAAGGAGGTTTATTGTTTGACATTCACCAAAATTAAGGAATGAAATGCATATATTTTGTTGATGAAGAATATGGCATACCTCGAACTTTTTGGGTCGCGCATGTAAATATTTGCTTGAGTTTTTCAATGATAGAGCGGTGGTGGGCCTCGAAATACAGCCATGCTGGGTCATCCAAAGGATCTAACTCCAGCAAAATCCTACAAGACAATTGCTCTTATGCATCAAATTCTACTAGCCCAATGATCTGTACGGCAAGATAAGTAACTAACTCTATCGTCTTTTCGATTTCTTCAACGCCGATGGGACCGTTACTGGAAGTGAGCTTCTCTCCCAGCTTAAGCTTGAAAACATTGACGACTTTTTCCACTTCTAGCCAGACTTTGTCAAATATCCGTTTGTGCTGCGCTCCATCTTCTGAATTACTAGGAGCCGGCAGGTTAAGGACTTGCCCAGGCCTAGAGTCTAACATGTTTCTTCCCCTTTTGTAAGCAAGCAAGGCAGTGTCGTACTTTTCCTGATCATTTGACAAAATATGTTCATATATAAGCTTTTATCCATCGAAATTCAGAATAATAACTATGGCAGGTCAATCTGGTTGAGATTTATATGTACGCACAGCTTCGATAGCCTCGATGAGTGTACCAGGCAAGTTAAAAAAGAACTTGCTACGTTCGAATACACCAAGGGTACTGCGAAGTCTCTCGGCTTTTCTGCGGTTTTCGAGGATTGGCGTGTAGACTTGCTCTGCCTTGCTGGTAGCAGCTAGCTTAGGCCGTCATCAGATGTGTGAAGTTTTCTATGCCATAATGCTAATCCATCAACAGAAGTAGCCTACTCACACTTCAGAGATTCCCGTAAAGGACCAATTGAGTAGTCTTCCTCAGGTCGCAGTGGTCCATTCTTCATCTGTTCGTAGACGGCTGTGTAGGTCACAGAAGGTTCGGATTAAATGAACAAGGTAACATATGATATAATTTAAACGCACTTTCAGTGGCAGCTTTGACGGCTACAAATCTATCAAATTCGCTCTCGACCAAAATCTTGAGAGCCTCGCTCCTTTGTTCCAGGCTTTCTGAAGAGAAAACAATTTCAAAAACAGATGATTGAAAACCGTCTTCAGATCAAAGCATCAAAAAATGATATCAATACAATGGGTTACTGACCTCGTAGCCGTTCACCGCCCATTTTCAAGTCACTAAAACTGGCATTTGGATGTACTTTCGACAAAAACGCTTTGGGGCTAAAACTTTTGGATGTAGTGGAGACCGACGTGCCTATATTGAATTTGTAACATTGTTGTTTAGCTTTCATTGCTGAGCACGCGTGTAAGCAGACGGAGACGGTTCATGAAGCAACCCACGAGTATCGGAAGAGACGTCGGCTCTGGAGAGTTGATATGTGCGTCAGGACTCTGTTAAAATAGAACTGGTAGGCACAGCGAGGGCTCACAATATAGCGCCGCGTATCAGCCCTAAAGGGTCCTCCTCTCCTTTGTGACCCCTGCCGAGAGAACCTCCACCACCGGCCGAGCCAGTCGCCGTGTCCAATGGATCAACGTCTTCCCATTTTGAGGGCTTGAGACTTGATAATCTGTAAGTTTTTAATAGTTCTTCGGGTTCAATTCCAAGTGTCTCGATTGACCTCCCACTACTCATGTTTTGTGTTTTGAAGAAAGGAGAGGGTTCAGTTTGACTGTGCGCTGATAGTTGATGGAAACGTCCTCACCTGGTACAACCGCCCTGCCCGAAAACCATTGTTATGGTGAACCCGAGCATTGCCGCGGCATAAAGCCCGAGGGCCGACCGGGTATAGTGGGTAGTGCCTAAACGCGTGAAATTGGGTGTTTTGAGAAAAAAGTTCATGGAGCCCACAAAATTGATCCAATTTTGAAGCCGAGGGCAGATTTGGAATCCTCACATCGATAGGAATCCAAAATTGTATTGAACATGCTGTTTTTAACCATTTGTACAGTAGAGAAAGTTCTTTTCATCCAATGGAGTTCTTGATAAATCAGCTTTTTGGCCATACTAACCGGCCCGACATTACACGCTTTTAGACACTACCCACTATAGGCTTTTCATCATGGTCACTCAATGAAGAATGTTTTTCGCGCATGGAATCATTCCTCTGATGATACTTACTACGTGATGCTACCTACTTCCATCATGAGGTATGCAATCTTTATTTCTCCAGCCTGCCTCTCTCCGCCAGGAGAGGTAGATGCAGGTTTATGAACAAAAGAGGGAAAAGTTGATTTTTTCAAAAACAAGAGTGATAATAGATGGATCCCACAGTCAACAAAACACCTTGCTCCAACTAGATGGCCGTAAGTGGCTCTCAAACCTGCCCCGGTTTTCAAAAAACCCAGTTGACCCAGTTGTTTTTTGGCAGTAACTTTGTGTATCAAGTTGACATTTGTTGACAGCTCCCAGCCAAAAATTCCACTGGGGCAACCGGGTTTTTTGAAACTGGGTCAGGTTTGAGAGCCACTATACTTCAAAGGCATATTATTCACCTCATTGTCAATTTTGGATGGTGTTGTATGAAAAATGCTCAAAATCACATTAAAAAAAACAACCCACATATCATGCTGCGATTGAAGTAGACAAGATTGACATAGGCAAAAGATGTGTTGCCTTTGTGATTATGAATTGGTATTGCAAGCGGGAAGACGCACAAAGCGGACTTTCTGTGGATCTAGAAAGGATGTTAAAGTGACTATATCCTGCTACACCTGTCCAAAAAATCCACCAATTTGTGATGGTGAATTGTTCAGATCAGATGACTGATAGCAAGGATATATATAGAAAAATTCTTCAAACCTTGAATAAGTTTCAACTTCATGGCTGTGCTGTCCACAGTTTGAGAAAAACAGTCTTCCACAATGATTTGGCTCAGTATCACTGTCAGGTTTACCTTGTGGAGCCCTCTGCTGGCCTCCAACCTGAGTGTCCAACTGCAGTGCCAATCTTTGCAAATATGTCTGAAAGAATATACAAATGTGCTATGTCAATGTCCTTGTAGCATGGTGGCATGCACACACAGAGAGTCTTGAAACAAATCACAAAGTCTTTTGGTCAGATTTAGACCAAGATTGTTGTTGAGCACCCTTTGAAATTGTGAATAATTATTCATTTATAGGATTTGTGGAATCTTTTGTCAGAAGATGGGGTCAACTGAGTGTCAATGTCCCAGTTGATAAGAAATTGATAAGGGGAAGCTGTGCCTGTTGTGGAAACTTTTCAAAGGGCCTTTGAGGGTCTAAGAACAGTACTTTGTGTGTGCAGGCCGGTGTGCTACAGCCTACATACAGACACAGTGATGAGGCCTCTTTTACACTTGCTTTTATTTGCCTTGCTCTTCTGTTCACCACTATCAACACAATTTGGCTGATGAAATATTAGCATAACACAGATCCAGAGAATCCCGCAGGGCTTCTGGAATGAATTGAGGATTCATTTGACTTCTACAGAGATCTGCATTTTCCTTTTTTCAAGCAAGAAATCAAAATACTTTGTCAGGAGCCTGATATTTATAGACATAAAATATGATGAAATGGTATGAATTGGCTCTCACCTAAAAAAAATGACATGATTTTAATGAATCAAATTTCTACACACCAATGCTCCAGATTTTGAAAAAGACTCACCCACCACCTGAGTCAGTGTGTGTAGTCAAACTTTGGAATCCCTTTGTCAAACTGAAAAAACTACAGAAGGTATGTGTGCATATGATTTACCCATTCAAATGAGCCACTAACTGAGTAGCTCTGTATGTACAGTTGCCATGCTCTATAAGCATAATTTCAATCTAAAAAGTTGTCAACCTTATATTGTGCTATGCATCGATTTGAAATAAGCATAAAGGCATAGTTTGCATTTGAACTGACCTTTATGCATGTTTTTTTCAAAAAACTTAGAGACCGCTTGATTTATGTTGCCAACCAGGGCTGAAGAAGTGAGATTAAAGTGTTTCAAAGTTAATATCCTGTGATCAATGAAGCAGAGGCTTGCAGAATGGGCAAGAAAGGATGGAACCTTCTTGAAAGTTCACACCTTTTCAGGGAAAAAATACTATATAAGCATATCCCCTTTGCACCCAAAATATGCTTACGTATAGCAGGATCCACACTTGTTGTAAGCATTTTTTGCTCAACTTCATGCTTTTAACTTATATGCTTATGGACAAAAATTAAGCCCCACTCATGTTTTATTGGCCAAATAACCATGCTTAAAACACAATATTGATAAGACAAAAGAGGATGGAACATAAGCTAGTGAACTAGTTGTCAGTGAAATGTCTACCAAAACAATAAAAATTGTGACAATAGAGAAACAACAAATTTGTAGGAAAAACAAATGCAATTTATATGAAATATGTTTTGCATGGCGTTACAATTATGACTAGAAGAAAATTAGTGAAAAACCACGTTCCATCCTTCCCTGACATTCCAACCAGCCTAAACCAAAAATGGGTGAGATCAGGTTAGATGCCAAGCCATCTACAGTCAAACCCGTGCAATTGCATAATTTGGGGGGAACATCTGGCCTATGCAGCTTCATGGGTTATGCAAAGTGAGGTAAAATCCAGGAGAGGTTAAAAGCATAAAGTTATGCATATATGCGGAAATAGGCCAAAATACATAACATTATGCATTTTTGCAGGTTATGAGCTAGGCTTTAAGACTCAGGGCTCAAGGTTTATGCCTAATTGTGTACTTTTTATCCTGTATTTTGAGTAAAATCTATGCAATTGGGCTTCCAAGATCCGTGTTTTTGGGTTTTGACTTATGCATGATCATTTTTGACAAAATTAGGCAATAAATCCAATTTTTAGCCTGCACCATGTTGGGCGAAGTCCTGGCCTATGCAAAAAGGCTGATTATGCAGTTGCGTGGGTATGCAATTGTGTGGGTTTGACTGTATGATGCCTGGATCAGCTCAGCCATAACAAATATTACTCAGTGTGTGCTTATAGCAAGCAGCAACTGTACACAATAGCTACAAATCCACCCATTTTAATGCACATATGTAGTGTGGACGCTATGGCTCAGGTGTGCAGTGATCAATCCCTTATGATCAATTATATGTACTCCCAACCATTTTGCCCTACTCAATTGAAGGGAATTTGTTTGATGTTGGCAGTATATTACTGTGCCCACACCCATAGTCAATTATCATCACAACACATGTATGTCTATACTTTTACTACAATTGAATCACTGGCGAAATATCTTAAAGAAGTTCCCCTACATGGGAGTGAGCTTCCATCAGGAGTTGAAAGCCAATGATTTCATCAAGTGGATATTATTCTGTATACACCCAAAGGTAAGAATCATGATATTATAAAGATATACCCAATGCCCCTTGAAGCAATATATCACTTAGTTGGATATTCTAAATGTGCAACAGAGATTCTCGTGTAGAAATTAGCCCAGGAGAAGGGATTTAGGGATAGGATACATGTGGGAATGCAAAATCTGTTTGAGTCAGGAATATGTTTTTGAACACACAGCACGAATAGGTACATGTGTTGTGGAATTTGAACTTCGACCATTTTTAAAAGCCCTCTGGATGATGACACTGATGAGTTGGTCTCTAGCACAATATTGCAACCGCTCTGCTCAAAAGAGCATGTGCGGTGTGGTTGGGACCTGCGCTCATGTCTGCGCTGCGCAATCTGCGAGCACAGAAGCCCTGAGCGGAGCCAAACGCTCTGCTCACGGCCGGGACTTGGGTTGCTCCGCTATATAGCAGAGCAATACCCTGTACCCAGGGGTAAGAGTTACCTTACAACTCTTTGTACGCCACCTCACGTTTTGCCACATTGAATCAGTACACTAGATCCAAATGCCAGCGTGGATACGCTTTTGAATGGTTGATGCACCCCCCTGGACAGCTACTCAATGGCCAGCTTGTGGTCTAGATCCCAGTTATATCATTTCTATTGCTTTCAGGTATGTATTTTCCTTTTTTATTCTCATCAATCCAATAGAACTGAGATTTTTTAACCTATAGTTCATCCTTTTTCACTCACTTCATTCTTTTCCACTCTTTCATCCTTTCACACTTCAACATGCCTACAACCCAATCTCAAACTTTGAATCAAAGTTTACTTCAAGTTCCAGGTTTGAGTAGTATAACTCTTCGCCCAGCAAGCCCGATTCGCAGGCAGCCTGGATTTGTTGCCACGCCCAGTGACTTGCGAACATCTCTAACCATCACCTCAGCTGACGAAGAGGAAGAAGAATTGCCAGGACCACTTGCAAATTGTGCAGCATTGCCCCGACCACCAGCTCCAAACGCCAAAAG